AATTGAATATTTTGATGATTTTCACAGGTCTGCCCCCTTAAGTGATCGAGGATCGTATGTCAGGGTGGCCGAGTGGTAAAGGTAAAGTTGATGTCCAAAAACAGCCTAAAATTGCGATTTTTGACCATATCTCCCAAATTTTGGTCGAACGGATATGACAACAGATCAAGTTCTCGATGCATCTCGACCAGACAAGACGATTTCATTTTATTATTTTTTTTCTATTAGACCGATGGTTCTAAAGATATGAGTGAAAAGAGCGTTTTTTGAACACAAAAGTCGAAAGGCCAGGCTGAAGACGATGGCGCAGCGGGTTCAAACTTCGTGGGTACTTACTTGGATGTATTCCGCACCTTTTAAGAGAGAGCCGTTTCCCGGGTGACCCCTAGACTGCCCCCTGGAGGTCAAAAAGTGGTGTTTTAGCCCTGCAGACCTAACTTTAGGCCCTTTGCAGGAGTCTAAATGCCTCCGAAGGTTCCAAATCGACCCTGTAGCTGGTCTTAGAATATCTTGAAGTACAATAATCCATGTCAACTTTTAAGATCCCAGATTTTCACTCCACCCTACTACTCAGTGGGTTGCATACCCACCGCGACACTTGCGCGGTACCTATGCTCCCAGGCCAGGCGACGGGCATTCACGGGCGCCAGCATTTTGCTGCCCCAAAAGTCATTTTTGTCAAGCGCGGCACATTAGAAACCTGAGTGCTCGGCTATCTAGTTCAGTGACGTGTCTGTCCGTCATAGTATTTATCGAAGAGACAGCAGATGGGAGTAATAAATTCGATTTTAGGCCTTGATATCTCAGCAAACTTTTATTTATTTATTTAGTACAAGTTAATCCACCATTACCAATATAATTCAATTGAACTAAACTTCAAATAAGTCTTCACCTTCTGCCCTTTCTCTCTCTGTCCTTTCTCTTGCCTTCCGTTCTCTCTCTATCCTTTCCCTCTCTAACCTTTCTCTCTCCAGTGCCTTCTCTGCCTCTTTAACCTTCCTGTCCCGAACATAATATTTGTGGAGAAACACATGGGCATCCACAGTCTCTGATTTGAGGTTGGTGCGGCGGATATTAACTATGAAGCCAGCATTGCTAAACAGCCTCTCGCAGGGTGCACTGGTGGCGGGTATGGCTCATATTCTTTTAGCGATCGCCTCGAGTTTTGGAAATCGGGAACCCTGTAATAAACAAAGCAATTAATATAACAAATCATTGTTGAAGTCCTTCGAAACCTTTTTAGAAAAGTCACGCCATGTAGGAACTTGCCTGAGTGCGCCACCATTCTAAAAGCGTCTCCACCGTTGGAAGGGACAACGCGGCATCGAGGTAGCGCTGCACCTCGTTGTCTTCCTCGCTCACTCGGCTCCCTGACGTCCACTCGTCGTCGAACTCCTCATAACCCTCCTCGAGGCGGCTCCGCTTGGGCGGTGAGGGTGAGTCGTGGTCATTGACAGGGGCACTAGTCTCTTGCACAGCCACCAGGTCGCGCACGGCGTTCAAGACCTGCAAAAGCATATTGTTATTACGAATCCTGAATACTCCGACCCCCGACCACACTCCGCCCGGCGCAACCCAACCCCGTCTCGCCGAGTCGAACCGCGTCCAGACACACTCCGCCCGCCCCACCGCGCGCGCGCGCCCGCCCGCCTTCGCCCGCACTGTGTTTAACCGCCCCACATTGCCCCGTGCTAGGCCTACCACCCGCCGGCCGCCACCCGCAACCCACCCCCGAGTCGGACTCGCACCGCCAGTGAGAACAAGAGAAGACAAATTCTTACCTCACGGCGATCCCCGGGGTCCAACAGCAGGAGTTCCCTATATTTAGGGTGCAGAAAGTGTGCAATTTTGTGTGAGACATCCAGTACCGCGACCTTGTTAAGGAGACGTGCTGTTTTTAGACGAAGTCGTCTGAAATCATCCTCCTCGTCGTCGAACAATTCTTCCTCGTATGCATCACTGGAATGAAAAACATTTATATCAATTATACAGTTTCTCCGAGATTTTCCTATCAGACTTCACTGGGGACTTACTCAAATCTGGGAATTTGCAGTTGTTTCTCGCAGTGCTTCTTGAGCTTCCCAATTGCAAGACATGCTAGAGGGAGTGTGGGATAATCTTCCCCCTCCAACTTCAGCGACTCAGCCTTGAATGGTTGCCAGAACTTGATGAGTAGCTGTACACGATCCCGGTCGATACCCTCCATTTTAGCGGGATCGTCTGACAAGGCTTGAGCAATCTGTGAAAAAAAATGGCGGATAGAGTAGGTCCCTTAAGGTGCGCGACTCGGAGCGTGCATGACGATAGGCCTGTACTCGGACTCAGGGGCGAGGGGGCGCCCCCCCCCCCTCGTCGGCCCCGGATGGGACGCCTGAGAGTAGGCAACATGCTCCTGAATGTAGGCAACCCACATGACATCGCCCCACCCGTCAGTCGAGCTCAAAACCACATACTGCAAAACTCGTACCTCTGTCCAGTTGTTGTCGATCGAGCGCAGCATGTCGACGTGAGTATTCCACCGCACTTCAAACTCTTGAGCAAGGTGGGGCATGTTCTTATCTAGCCCCGCATTGCGAAGATAGGTGACAAGTTTCTTGCAATTCTGGACCAGAGTGACAACACTCAACACTCCCAACTCTTGGACCAGGGTTTCTTTCATAGTGGAAACGAAACCCATTTCCCCAGCTTTG